CGCGCCCCGCGCCCCGCGCCCCGCGCACCATGGCCGGGGCCATCGCCTCCCGCATGAGCTTCAGCTCGCTCAAGAGGAAGCAGCCCAAGACGTTCACGGTGCGGATCGTCACCATGGATGCCGAGATGGAGTTCAACTGCGAGGTACCCGGCCGGGGTGACCCGGGGGCCCGGGCGGTTCGCTGTCGGTCCTCCTCGGGGCATAGGTTAGAGACCTGGCAGGCCCGGCGGAGGGGAAGGGGCCGTCGGGGCCCAAACCCATCAGTGAAAGTTAATTGCTTCTGTTGTTTTCTTTCTTTTTCCCACGCGCAGCTCTTAGGTTTTTTTTTTTTTTTTTTTAGCATTTTCCTTTTGGTTGCAGCTCATTCATTGTTTATTGGAAGAAGCTTTCGTGGTAGCGAATTCTTGTAGTAGTAGCTAACTACTACTAAAAGGCGTTCCTGATGTTAAGAAGTTGCATCTTGTTCGTTGCAAAGTTAATACTTGTTTCGCTTTTTCCCAAAGCTTACATTTTTCTGGAAGAAACTTTGAGGGAAGGAGGCGGCACCTTACACTTACTTTCTATCATGATTTGCTAAATTCTTTCTTTCTTTTTTGGCTGTGGCTGGGGATCTAACCCCAGGGCCTTTGTGCATGCTAGGGCAAGTACTGAACCACGAAGCTACAGTCCCAGCTTAGATACTTTGTAAACGCTAGTCTTTCACGTATTTAACTCTTAACAAAACTCTGTGACTGAGGAATATTTGGTCTGGCTTCTTGGGTTGCTACTTCTAAAATGCTTGGAATCTCCAGTGATAAGTTTTCTTCTTGTGTGCTAATGAGCTGGCTCTATCTCATAGCTGGAGGTTGCTTACCTTGAGGTAGTTTAGGATTGAGGTTCGGTCACCTGAAAGAGCAAAGCTTGTTAAGAGGTCTGGCTGGAACTTTTCAGCTCCATTCCCTCAGACTGGAGGAGAGGGAGAGGGACTGAAGGTTAAGTTGATGTCTATGTTAGGCCTGAGTGGCTCAAGCCTGTAATCCTACCTACTTCGGAGGCTGAGATCTGGAGGATCATGGTTCAAAGCCATAGGCAGAAAAATCCTACAGACTCGATCTCTATGTAATCAACAAAATGCTCAACAACAAAATGGAGGTGTGGCTCAGGTAGTAAAGCACCAGCTATGATAGAGGGAGAGTGAGGTCCTGAGTTGAAGCCATGGTATCAGGGGAAAACAAAAATTGATCTCCAATGGCTGATTTAATCAGCCATGCCTGTGTCATAAAGCCTCCAAAAACTCCAAAGGAGAAAGTTTGCAGATAGCTGAACCAGTCCAGTTTCCTGGAGTGTCAGTGCTCCAGCTGAGTACATAGAAGTTCTGCACCCCTCCCCCATGACTTTCTCTATGCATTTTTTCATCTGTGGCCTTCATAATAAATAGGTAAACCCAAGTGTGCAAGTGGGAACCACATTTTGTAGCTAGTTGGTCAGAAGCCCAAACTCAGCTTTTTTGGGAGGAGGAGATCTATCATGGGTCTTGAACTCTGTGCCTGGGCTCTGTCCCTGAGCTCTTCAGCTCAAGGCCAGCACTTTACCACTTGTGCCACAGCACCGGTTTTCTGGTGTTTAGTTGGAGATAAGAGTCTTACTGACGTTCCTGCTCTGTCTGGCTTTGAACCGTGATGTTCAGATCTCAGCCTCTTGAGTAGCTAGGATTACAGGTGTGAGCCACCGGTGGCCCCTCCACAAGCTCAGATTTTTTTATTTTTATTTCCCCCAGTTGGTTTTCGTGAAGACTTGTTCAGCTTGAGGTGTGTATGTGTGTGTGTGTGTGTGTAGAGTGGGGGGACGGATAGACAATCTTGTGGTACTGAGCCCTGAACCTGTGGGATCTGCTGCTGTGTCTAGGTAGAGTGTGTGAAAATTGAGTTCAAGGACCCTGGCTGATGTCTGCTTGCAGAAAATTGGATTGATTGCTTCTTGGTGAAACTCATTGGATCAGGCATGCACCATCATGCCCAACCCAAGTAATCTTTTTTTTTTTTTTTTTTTTGGGTCTGGTCATGGGGCCTGAACTCTGGGTCTGGGCACTGTCCCTCAGCTCTTCAGCTCAAGGCTAGCATTCTACCACTTAAGCCACTGGGTCTGGGCACTGTCCCTCAGCTCTTCAGCTCAAGGCTAGCATTCTAAAACTTAAGCCACAGCACCACTTCTGACTTTTTTCTTTTTGCTTATGTGGTGCTGAGGAATCGAACCCAGGGCCTCATGCATGCAAGGCAAGCGCTCTACCACTGAGCCACCTTCCCAGCCCTCAAGTAATCTCATTTTGTTATTTATTTAGTCGGTCTTGGGGCTTGGACTGTGGGCCTGGACACTGCCCTTTAGCTCTTCAGCTCAAGGCTAGTGCTCTACCACTTGAGCCACAGCGCCACTTCCAGTTTTCTGGTGATTAATTGGAGATATGCATCTCACAGACTTTTCTACCCAGGCTTTGAACCATGATCTTCAGATCTCAGCCTCCTGAGTAATTATGGGAGCCACTGGCGCCTGGCTTTATTTATTTATTTTCATTTATTTATTTATTTATTTTTTGGTGGGGGAGGCCAGTCGTGGGACCTGAACTCTGGGCCTGGGCGCTGTCCCTCAGCTTTTCAGCTCAAGGCTAGCGCTCTACCACTTGAGCCACAGCGCCACTTGTGGCTTTTTTCTTTTTACTTATATGGTGCTGAGGAATCGAACCCAGGGCCTCAGGCATGCAAGGCAAGCGTTCTACCACTGAACCACCTTCCCAGCCCCTATTTATTTATTTTTAAACCCAAGCATTTATACCTTTTGGGAATGGTTCTAAGGGCAAACACCAAATGTAGACTTACTTATTCAAGAAATCTATAAAACTTGATAAGAAAGTCTAGAGTCAACAGAATTGGAACCCCTCCTTCCTTTTCCCTTCTCAGCTCTGTGAGATAGAGAATCCATTCAGCTGCTGTATCCTGAAACACAGGACCCCGCCCTTTACCCTCTCCCTCTGCCCCCCCCCCCCAGCTCCTCATCAGATTACTTTGCTCCCAGGAAGGACAGGGAACAGGATGTCAGTTTTCCACATCCTACACACAGCCACACTTGTTGCTGAGGCTAAGTGGTGGGTGAGTGCCTATGCCATGGGGCTTCCTTCTTCCATGCAGAACAGGGCTTAACTTAGACCCCAACCACTCTTGCACCAGCCCCTGCTTATGAGGTTGTGGTTTTACTGTAGGACAGGCAAGTTGAAAGACCCCAGTCTAGTGAGCTCCCTTTCAAGTGCTCAGTCCTAGAGTGGTGCTGTCACTCAGAGAAGCTTGTCTTGCTTTCCTATCTGTAGCATCCTGGGCTCAGAGATTTTTTATTAACTTAAAGCAGCTCCAGGAGGAAGGTGTAGCAGCTCAGTGTGGTAGAACACATGTACGTGTCCTGGGTTTATAATTTTATTTTATTGTCAGTCATGGGGTTTGAGCTGGGCCTGGGTGCTGTCCCTGAGCTCTTTTTTGCTCAAAGTCTATACTCTACCACTTGGAGCAGCAGCACTGCTTCTGGTTTTTGAGTGGTTAATTGGAGATAAGAGTCTCCAGGGGCTGGGTGCTCATGGCTCACACCTGTAATCCTAGATACTCAGGAAGCTAAGATCTGAGGATCACGGTTCAAAGCCAGCCTGAGCAGGAATGTCCAATTAACCACCAGAAAACCAGAAGTAGTGGTGTGGCTCAAAGTGGTAGAGCACTTGCCTTGAGCTGAAGAGCTCAGGGACAGTGCCCAGACTTGGCACTCAAGACCCATGAACAAAAAAAAAAAAAAAAACAAAACAAAACGAGGGGGGGTCTCACGGGGACTTTTCTGGCTGGCTTTGCACCACGATCCTCAAATTTCAGCCTCCTGAGTAGCTAGGATTACAGGTGTGAGCCACTGGCCCCTGTCCTTCTGGATTTAATTTCCTAGCACCAATGTCCTCCCAAAACCAACACAAACCCAGAAGGCTCTTAATCTTTTCCCAAGAAGTTACTGCAGCTGCAACTCAGTGTGGAGAAGTTCATGCTTAAAGGTACTCCAGAGTAGTAGTTTTAGTGGATTTAATGGAGATGATACAGCCTTGACCGCTGGTCTTCCAGTTGCTAAGAAATGGTGGAGAAACAAGACAGGTGGGAGGAGCCCTGCTGGGATCTGAAGTGTCAGACAAGAGCTCACAAACACTCTCTCAAAACAGCCACCATTTGATAGGATAGTTTGTGCAACAAGTTATGCCTCTGGGCACTGTTGACAATAATAGAGCCATAAGCCCCAAATTGTTGAGTTTAACAACTGAATGTGTTTGTGGGAAGGGAAGAGAGCTACTGAAACCACTGTCACCACCCCCAACAACTCACCTCCCCCTCCCTTTCCCCTTCCCCTCTCCTCCTTTCCCTTTCCTCTCTTTCCCTTCTCTTCCTCCCTTTTTTTCTTCTCTCTCCCCCTCCCCCTTCCTCACTCCTCCTCTCCTTCCCCCTCCCCGGTTTTCTAGTGGTTTATTGGTGATAAGTCTCACAGACTTTCCTGCCCGGGCTGGCTTTGAACTGTGATCCTTAGATCTCAGCCTCCAGAGTAGCTAGGATTACAGGCCTGAGCCACTGGCCCCCGGCTCTATCTTTTTCGAAGTCTGTGAAGAATTGTATTCTTAAAATGTTAAGTAGATTTCAGTTCTGAAGCAGTCTGAGTAAAATGAGTAAACCCAGACTTCTTTATTTTGTAGGTGTGTGTCAGTGTGTCAGTACTTTGGCTTTTTCTGCTAAAGGCTGGTGCTCTAGTACTTGAGCCACACCTCCATCTCCAGCTTTTTTGCTGGTAATTGGAGATAAGAGTCTGGTAAACTTTTTGGCCCAAGCTAGCTTTTCATTGCTAATTTAATCTTCACTTGCTATCAGTCTGTTAGTCTTGAGTCAATCTTATCTATTTCATTAAAGTTATACATTTCATCAATTGCCATTTCACTTTTTCTGTTTCATATCCTTTTTTTTTCTGCCAGTCCTGGGACTTGAACTCAGGGCCTGGGTACTGTCCCTGAGTTTCTTTTGCTCAAGGATAGCATTCTACCATTTGCACCACAGCACCACTTCTGGCTTTTTTTGTTTATGTGGTACTGAGGAATTGAACCCAGGGCTTC